GCAAAGAGAAGGAAAATTCCAAACTTAAGAACACATAGGAGATATAGAAAAGTTTGGGCAATGATAAAGAACATGAGGAGATTGACAGCAACGGTGATACTCTGCCCCGCAGAACGGGTCTCCAAGGGAAATATTATAGAGAATGATTCTTATTATTACAGAGAACAATTATTACAAGAATATATACACATACAAGAGAGAGAGGCGTTAGGGTAAAGCTAATTGTAATTAAGTCCCTATAACTACTATATTTACATTTGTTCTCCTATACACCCCCTCAAGATGGAGGGAGTTTCCTCACACCAATCTTGGAACAGGCCAACTGAAATTTTGCTGGGGGTAACGGCTTCGTGAATGTATATGCAAGTTGGTCATTTGTGGATACATGACAGACCCGTAACATACCAGTTTGAATCTGATTCAGTACGAAGTGATAATCAAGAGCGATGTGTTTCATCCGAGAATGAAAGACAGGATTGGCGCAGAGATAAGTAGCACCAATATTATCACAGTAGATCACCGGAGCAGCACTAAGTGTAATCTGCAGTTCAGAGAGCAAAGAGCATAACCATCGTACCTCAGCAGCAGTATTTGCGACAGCTCTATATTCAGCTTCAGTTGAGGAGCGAGAGACCCCTCGTTGTTTCTTCGAAGACCAGGAAATTGGGTTTTGGCCAAGGTATACAACATAGCCATTTGTAGAGATGTAATCGTCAGTGTCACCAGCCCAGTCTGCATCGGAGAAGGCATGAAGCACATGAAGCGTCAGTGGAGAGGAAGCTGAGAGGTATACACCATGTGTTGTCGTTCCAGCCAAGTAACGCATCACTCGTTTGGCAGCAATCCAATGATCTTGAGTTGGTTTGTGCATAAACTGTGACAATCGATTCACAGCGTAGCAAATATCCGGTCTCGTAAAGGACAAATATTGAAGACTACCAACAACGGATCGATATTGTGAGGCATCAGGAAGAATATCGCCACTTGTAAGTGTGAGTTTTGGAGAAGACGACATTGGAGTGGGGACAGGTTTGGCGTCCGTCATGTTGTTCTTAGCAAGAAGGTCGAGCACATATTTCCGTTGCATCAAATGCATTCCCTGAGCTGTGCGTGTGACCTCAATACCAAGAAAGTAATGAATATATGTGGGATCTTTGATGGAGAACCGATCAGCAAACGATGTGAGAACATGAGTAACAATCGTCGGATTACTCCCAGTGACAATAATGTCATCAACGTATACAAGAATGTAGGTGATATCTTTTCCATTCCTGCGGATAAACAATGAAGCATCGGCAAGAGAGTTAGTAAATACAGTTTGAAGAAGGTGTTGTTTGAGAGCCATGTACCACGCCCGTGGCGCCTGTTTGAGACCGTAGATCGGTTTTCGCAATCGACAAACAAACGATGGTCTATCTTGGTCGACAAATCCCGGTGGTTGTGACATATATACCTCTTCCTCTAAGTCACCTTGTAAAAAGGCATTGTTGACATCCAATTGTTTAACAGACCATGCTAGCTTGACCGCAACTTCTAAAACAAGACGTATTGTCGTAGATTTTATGACGGGAGAGAATGTCTCAGCATAATCGTTCCCGTATTGTTGATAAAAGCCCTTGGCCACAAGGCGTGCTTTGTAGCGTTCTAAGATCCCGGTGGAGTAAAATTTTGTTGTGAAGACCCATTTGCAGCCAACAATGTTTTGAGAAGAATCAGGCGGTACTAAATCCCAAGTACGGTTCACTATGAGCGCATCATATTCGGTTGAACAGGCACGATTCCAATTTGTATCCTTCAAGGCTTGTTTGATCGATGTTGGTTCCTTGGAATGATTAGTAGCAGTGACGGTAAGACTGAATTTGGTGTTGGGTTTGGTAATATTATTTTTGGCTCTTGTTTGCATTTTGTGGATATTTTGTGGTGGTTGTATTTGGTTCTGTGGTCGAATAGACATAGCTTGGTGGGATTGGTTGGTATTTGTATCTTGGCGATTCTGAGCTGTGGGTTGCAGCTCATTTTGTTGTGGAGCAGTGGGCTCTTGTGAAGGTAGGTTTGGCTGGGTTGTGGGTCGCAACCCATTTTGAGGAAGAGCAGTAGGCTCAGAACTAGTAACCGGAGAAGAAGAGGGAGAAAGAGAGGAAGAGGAGAGAGAAGGTAATACCTGTGGTGGAGAACGCGGCGGTGAGGTCCGGTGAAGGTCTGAAGTCGGGGAGCCCGTGGTCGTATGCGGAGAAGATTGCTGCAAAGAGTGGTCCGGTGAAAACGCGTTGTTGAGAGACGGAGAGGTGGACGAGCGAGATGAGTCGTCACGATTGTGTTGTTGTGGAAGTGAATGTGTGGGCTGGGCCGAAGATGACGTTAATGGGCCTATGATGTTTGTGGCATTGGTATCAAGTGAAGAAGTAGGCCCAGTTGTTGTATCAACAACACGATCGTGTGGGATCTGTGATGAAGCAACAGAGGTATTCGACGGCTGAGACGACGACGGTGTTGGGGTCACCGGCGGAGAGAGTTGATGAGGAGGCAGTTGGACACGTTGCACACCGGAGGGGAAGAACGGCACGTCGACTGTAGAGGTAGTGTTGTTGTCACGCCGGTCTACCGTATCAGAAAATGGGAAAGCTTGTTCGTCAAATTGGACATGGCGTGAAGTATAAAGACGACCAGTAGGAGGATGAAGACAATAGTATGCACTCTGGGTAAGTGAATAGCCAAGGAAAACACATTTTTGTGACCGATCATCCAGTTTGTGATGTGTGTAGGGTCGCAACCATGGAAAGCACAAGCAGCCAAAGACGCGTAGCTTCTCATAGTTTGATGGCATCTGAAACAGCATTTGAAACGGTGATTCCAAAGAGAGGACTGGAGTTGGCATCCGGTTGATAAGATAGACGGCAGTTGCGAAGGCATACGGCCAATAAACTTTTGGGACAGAGGCCGTCTGCATGAGAGTGAGTCCGGTCTCAACAATATGTCTATGCTTTCTCTCAGAGACTCCATTGTGTTCAGGTGTGTGTGGAGGAGAGGTCAAATGAGAGATACCATTAGTGGATAAAAACGTGCGAAGAGCAACAAATTCACCCCCATTGTCTGAAAAGAGCGTGCCGATGCGAGCTTGGAACCGATTCTCAACCAGAGCTTTGTACGCGACAAAAGTAGCATAAACATCAGATTTCTTCTTTAAAGGGTAGAAGCAGCTGTATCGAGTGTAGTGATCAACAAGTATAAGATAGTACTTATAGTTATCACTAGAGAGGATGGGTGAGGTCCATAGGTCGGTATCGATGTATTCAAGAGGTTTGTGGGACGAGATTGAATTTTGAGAAAAAGGAAGTTTGTGGCTCTTATTAATATGGCATTCTGAGCAAGACAAAGGTTTTTGTAATGAAGAAGTAACAGGAATTGAAAATTTAAAAACAACTGTTTGTAAGATTGATAAAGAGGGATGTCCCAAACGAGAATGCCAGACCGAGAGGTTTGTTTTTGGACCAGAAGACGACAGCAGTGCCATAGCTTGAGGAGACTTGACCGGCCACTCATACAGACAATTTCTAGTACGACCTTGGAGTAACGGGACCCCCGTACTGAGATCCTTCACCTGAAAAGACGCGGGGAAGAATTCAACAGATACACGATTAGTGTTGCATAAGCGGTACACCGAGATAAGATTTTTATGTATATCAGGTACGCATAATATCTTATCCAAAGTCAAAGCACGAGTTTGAGAGGGAAGAAGGGTGGAACCAGTGTGGGTAACCGCTAGGCCAGAGCCATCGACAATGAGTACATCATCACCTCCATTGTATGGCTGATGCAGAGAGAGATTTTGAAGATCAGACGTGATGTGGTGAGTCGCACCAGTGTCAAGGATGCCAGGAGAACCACCAACAAAGTTTGCTTGCGGCTGCCATGGTTTGAATGGGCTTGGAGGAGTACGTTGCGTTTGAATGGACTGCAGCTGTGGGCATCTCTTGGCGTTGTGGCCTTGTGTATAGCACAGTTGGCATTTGCCAAGGTACGGCTTAGAGACGCGAGGTTCGGACCTGTTTGTCTGCTGGTTGGACTGCCAGTTAGTGTTGGTGTAGTTGCCGTTATTGTTGTGACTGTTGTTGTATCGCTTTCCACCATTGTTGTTGTTGTTTGAATTCTGTCGTGATTGTGCAATGTGTGCGGAAGTAGGGAAGGCAGAGGAAGAAGCAGCGTGAGCAACAGAGAGAAGTCTAGCTTCTTGATTGAGAAGTCGGCCATGAACTTCAGTTATCGATGGTGTAGTATCTTTGCCAGAGATCTGGTCAATCACATTCTTATAATCATCAGAGAGACCAGCAAGGATACGTTCAATTTGTTCTTCATGCTCCATTGGTTTTCCCAGAAGTGCAAGTTGATCAAAGCGTAGGCTAAGACTTTGGATGTACTCATCGATTGTTTTGGTCCCTTTAGAGATGAGCTTGATCTGGTCACGAAGTTGAACAATATGTCCTCTACACGGGTTGGCGTACGTTAAGGCAATTTTGGTCCAGATCTCGGCGGCAGTGGTGGCGCGAGCAACAATGGATTGTAGTGGAGTGGAGATGGCACCGATGAGGGCACTGTAAATGAGTCGATCTTGTCGTGTCCACTTGATGAATGCAGGGTTGTCAGAGACAGTTGTTCCAACAGTGACAGTAGCAGAGGGGATCGGAGTGGACTCGTTAAGATGAGAGAGAAGACCGTGTCCATCAAGAAAGGCTTCAACTTGGAGCTTCCATGTGAGATAGTTGGTGCCAGAGAGCTTGGTAACATTCGACATGTTGATGTTGAGAATCGTGTTTGCATCAATGGTGATGAGATCATTGTTGGTTGATATGTTCGTTGAAGAAGTCATAGTGGCGGCTTGAGAGGAAAAAAAATTTTAGGTTATAGGATCGTTGTTTGCTTTGATACCATATAGAGAATGATTCTTATTATTACAGAGAACAATTATTACAAGAATATATACACATACAAGAGAGAGAGGCATTAGGGTAAAGCTAATTGTAATTAAGTCCCTATAACTACTATATTTACATTTGTTCTCCTATAAATATTTCACTCGGTATGGTGTAGCCAAGCTGACCCCATGACCATCCGTAGCCTAGAATAAAGAGATTAACAAAGATGACCAAGAGGATTGAGTACCCTTTTGATAGCTCTTTGTTGTCTCCAAATTTTAATCCCAAGATCACTGAGACTATGACCTGTTTACAAACAAAAATGAGACCATGTTAAGAGTTAATTAAGAACCTAACTAAAAAACCAAAACTCTTTAGACTTGAACTAAAACTTTTGTATACATCAACCATATGATGTGTGCAAAGAGACGAAAAGGCGATAACATTTTTACCTGGGAAATGATCATTTGTAATCCGCCACTGATGAGCAAAGCTCGTCGTCCTACAAGGACTGATGAGTAGAGTAAAGCATTTCCTCCAAACCCCATTGTAATGAACAAAACAGGCGCATAGAAGAGAACACAGTTTACACCAGTGAGGATCTGAAATGTTGGTATCAGAATCGCCATGACCAGCTGAGGCCTGTGGCGTTTATGTAGAATTTCTTTGAAAGGATGCTTGATAGAATTGGACAACTCGCTTGCATCTACCATGTCTTGAAACTCAGCGTTGACGTCTCTTGTTCCTCTCAGTTTCTCCAAGACTTGCCTGCCTTTCTCTGTTAATCCTCTTTCGATCAAGCTGGTTGGAGTCTCGTGAAGGAAATAACCGCCAAGGGTCATGAGAAGAGCCGGAAAGATAGCTGAACCAAGAGAGAGCCTCCAGCCCCAAGGCTTGAGCTGTTGCGTTGCGTAACTGACCATGTTGGCTGAAAATATCCCAAGAGTTGTTGTCAACTGAAACATACTGTTTAGACCCCCTCTTAAATTGGCTGGTGCCACCGCTGATAAGTACATAGGAACTGCCTGAAAAACATATAAACAAAAATATAAAGTTAGATTACATTAAGGTCTTCTCATCATCAACATTGACCTCTCACAAAACCTGATTTTCAAATCCAACGCCAAAACCGATCATGATCTGTCCTAGACACAGCATTGGAAGGTTCACTGATCCCGGCACAAATTATGGTTGCAAGTCGTCCATAGTTCCTGCTGATTGGTGAGGCCATCAGACTTGCAAGTAAACCAGCAATATTCAGTAACGAGTTGAAAGCCGCTAGTCCTTGATTGTCGAATTTGCAGTAGTTATTCTCATGAGCATGTCTCTTTTTCTCATACACATCATGGAAAAACTCTATAAGGAACTCATCCATCGACGTGACAGCTCCTGTAAAACCAAAAAACCTATGCCCATTACATTTATATAAATATCACTTTAGTCGCAAAAAATAGTGTTTTCAAAAGGGATAGATAGAAGAACAGAACCTGAGACTCCAATGTCATATCCAAAGATGCATCCACCAATGGCTGCAACAAAGCAAGTAACAACGACGGAGCCGGTGACCTTCCCTTGGTACTGTTCGGCTCTCTCATTCACCACCTCGGCTGGCCTCAACGACCTTCCAACCATTTTTCTTATTTTATGCAATAGAATTTGTTCAAATTCACACGTATGCATGTGAGAAACACAAAACAATGAAAAAAGGTACACTAACATCTCCTTTTCATGTTACCTTCTTTTCCGGCTCTATTCATTTTGTTTCGTACGGGGAGTTTTAAACTTGTGTTTGGTATAAGTTGGCTCGAAACTTAGTTCAAAGAGAACAAATGACTCAAATAAAAGTAAAGTGGGAAACATGAATTGAAATGAAAATACAAGAAAACGTCTGTTTACATTAACTAAGAAAGAAAAAAAGAAAAAAAAAAGACATTTTGCTAAAATCGGTATTCAAGAGAATACAAAAAAACGTTGCAATCAAGAAATTGAGTTTTAAGTCAATTACACAAAGACTGGTTCACGAAACCATCAGAGCAGATCCACTACAGATAACACAACTTTGGAAAAAGGTAAGCATTGGAGCTACGCAGTTCCTTCCCTATAGAGAAATAACTACTTTGAACACTTAAGTCATTCTCCTTGTCGCGATAATACCTGACAACGGTACTCCCCCAATGCCCATATAGGGAAAATGTTTCGATACGCAGCGTATGTAATCATGCAGTTTCTATTGAAGACTCCCATTATTTCCTAAAAAAAAAGAGCCAAGAGAGATCAGTGATCGATCTGTTAAACCAAGAGAAACTAGAAGAAACACCGATGTGGTTGATGCAACTTATTACCTGTTGTGGAAAATCACCATCCTCCATCTGTGCGTTTATCAAGTATCTTGCAGCCCGGTGTAGTGGTTTTTGATCTACCTCAGCCTAATACGAACACACACAAAGAGATAAACGTATAAATGGAAACAGAAATGGAGAGAGAAAAAGAATGAGAGATCTCTGCGCCTTGCAGCACGATGAACTGAAGTTTAAATTCTTTTAAGGAATTTACTCACTTGGCCAGCACTGATGAGTGTAAGCAAAGCCCATGCTGTATTTACAACATGAGACCTGTTGCCTTCAAGGTTTGAATAGACCTATTCATGTAATCAAAAAAACATAAAAGATTCATCATAAAGTAGCAGTAGTTAGAATTTAGCGAACATACAAAGTAATTATTAACCTTGTCTTGACATGAAAGATAGCTTTCTCCCCATCCTCCAGAAGGTTGTTGTTTCGACAACAGAAATTCACAAGCTTTGGCAACATGTGGAGAGTTTTTCAATGTTTTTCCAACAGCTACTAGCCCTTTCACTCCAAACCATGTACCATACGTGAAGCAAACAGCCCATGATCCATACCTAGAGGGAAATCACAGGTTACAAGACAGAAACTAACTAGAAGATACAATGAGAGGATATAAGGAAAAATAATGTAACTATGCAAAAAGATTTATAATGCCTAGAGACTAACCATGAGCCATCTGCTGCTTGAATAGATTCAATGAACTTAACTGCCTTCTCAATGCACTCATCTACTTCCTTCTTCCGATGACCAGGATACAGCTTTCGAAATGATATTAAAGCTTGGATAGCAGCTGATGTACATTCCACGTAACTACAGAACCATTTTGTGCATCAAAGGAAATTTAAAAATTATAAAATTGGATTAACCAGATGATTCAGTGGAAGATGCTAGTGCCTTACGGATAATCAATAACAATATCGCCAAAGGTTTCTGCTGGGTTAATTAGCTGAAAACAGAAATGAGTAAAGTTTACACTTAAAACTTCAAAAAAGGGGACTAAGGCATATGTGTAGGACACATAAATACAAAATGTATATAGAACATAAGAGATCAATATCTAGGCACACAAACAATACCTCCAACCAAGGATATGACCTGGTGAGCTCATATGTTGCAAGGCCTCCATCTGGATTCTGAAAACAGATATTATCTGCTAATTAGACAAGGAGAATGTTTTGCTTGTTGAAATGCGCATTAAAAACCCAAAATCTCAACAGAGCAGAGAGACGACCTATAATTGGTTAACTACACTAAAACTGGCACTAATATGTATTACTACGGGTATTAGAAACCAAATCTAACCTGTAACGAAATGATAACATTAACAGCATCATATAACCGTTTTGCATCTATTGGTTCACCAACAATCTCCTTGGGAACTTTGGATAGCAAAAGAGCAGCCTGAAGAGGAAATACAAAATTCATTACCACCAAAAATGAAATCCTGAAAGGTACCTCTGTCGCATTGTTTTTACTTTCAGTCCTTCTGCGGTGCAGTCAGAGATGGGCCAACCGTGATCTGCTGTTGAAAAAGGCCAAGCCCCTTTAGAAATGTGGCGGTACCAGTAATTTAGATCTCCAGGGCAGTCTTCTAAAACCTATGAAAAGAAACAATCGTGAGAGAGAAAAGAACATTCAGAGCTAACGCTGATCTAAATTAACTGCATATCACAAACCTGGGAATTCTTGACAAATGAATGAGCTTTTTTCAAAACGGGCCCATATTCGTCGACAAAGTTAGTTGCCAAAATCGCTTGAATAGCAAAACCTGTATCCCATAGCTGACTTCCGTTATAACCCTGTCAATAGCTGCTGCATTAGAGTATGGATAACAGATTCAATGTTTATAACTAGTAATTGGATAAACAGTAAAGTATGGTTTTTGGTTGGCAGGAAAAGATAGAAACATGGTAGAGCAAATAAAATGCAAATGCCCACAAGATATGAGATTTAGAAAGCTTTATCAAGGTTGTTTTTCTCTTTCTTATGATTCAAAGATGATTCTATCAAACACAATCTAGGGTAAAACTCCCATCTTCATATAAATTGATGTAGTAATGTCATTCTGAGTACTATCAAAGTTTGAGGTGTATATTTGTATACTGTTGAGCTAATGAATCCATCCATAATATTTGTACTCGTTCGGCAGTAACTTTTGTTCTATATAATCTACCAAACATAATCATATATACAACTACGTTGTAGTACCTGCATCTTCATTCCATCTTCAGCTATCCAAAGAAAATCATGGATTCTTGGTAGGTGCAATTTGAAAGCCTCTGAATTTGGGTCCTCTACCCAACAGCAAAGCATATTTAATACCTGTTATAATCATCACAAAACAAAGATGATAAAGTGCAGGATTTTAAAACAGAAAGAAAACGCAAAGTCAAACAATCCCTAAACCAAACTTGTAAAAGAATAAAAAAAATGGTTATAAAAATGGTACCGAGGCTGTTGTGGAAGTTTGATTTTTATACCTTGTTCACGGGACCTATGCAGATGTACCTAGTATTCTCATCTTCATAGTGAATATGTTCTATTGCGGTTCTTATAGCCTTTTCTCTCAAATTTGCACCAGGCCATCGCATTAGAACCGGCTCAACAAAATTATGAAGTGATGCCCAAAGAACATCTTGCACAAGTGGGTGTGGGTAGTATAAATCCTCCTTCAATAGAGAAGCAACTATCAGCATAAAAACAGTTAACCCTGAGCATCAGAAATACACGCTGATATGTGTAAGGACCTATATTTTGACTACAGTATTTCTATCAAGAATCATTTAATCTAATTGTTTTATTCACCCAACCACGAATTTCATAATGATCTGCAAATGCGCAAGTAACTTTGTTTAAAGAGTTAGCTTATGTGTTAGCATAGTTACAAAATCTACCATCAATTCCACGAACCTTTGCGCAAAGGTTGCGTGCTTCATTCCAGTCGACTTCATGATATGGTACAGTGAAAAGCTCCTTTCTTAGTGATAAAATAGTGGACGTTATGGGACCCACAAACCTTTTTCCATACAAATACGACATCGGCAAGTACACCATCCGACAATGGCACCACATCCTTCCTAGAGCATGAGAAAAAGTCTTATTCTGATACTTTATTGTGCACTATATCTGTATACATAAGAACTAAAAAGCAAGCTGTAGCAAAAGAAAACCATCTCCATCTTTTTAAATAAATACACACAGAGTTAACATATTCGATGAGTTTGCTTTGAACAAGCATGAAGCATAATAGATAACAAGCTATGATCAGATTTACAAATTCTTTCGAGATTTACTTCACTTGAGTTGTGACGCATTTCATTTGAATGAAGCGTTTAGTTGACCAACAATTAGTGACTGGGAAAAGAATAAACTTAACATTGTCAAGACTCAAGATACACATGAAAATTGTCATTGTACAAGTATTTGTGAGCACCTGGATGGATTGGCAAAAAATAAGGAAGAAGCCATATCTCAGGTGGCAGTGGGTTATTTCCAGACCATTCAAAAGCTCCAAGTACCTTTATTCACAGTATTAGCAGATCCAAGCTAACAGATTAGTCAAGTAACAGAGATATTAATATCATAACTTAAAAGGACAGAGAGAATTCATGATTTCAGTACCGAGAGCCACATTTTCCCCCAAGATGTGATCTTGGTAGCACCACCATGATTTAGTATCCAGTCTCGCCCTTTCTCTATAGCTCCATCTCCATCGTTAGGTCCTTCTCCAAGTAACCTTAGAGTAACATAGTTCAATACAGACCCAAACATGGTGCTAGGTCCTTCAATATGTAAACCCCAACCTCCATCCTCATTCTGAAACCAAGTTCGGCCAATAGTCAAATTAATTTAACAATCGGAAAGTAGAAGAAGGAAGTCTTTGAAACATATAAATGTGAGTACACAACTACACATATTATGTATCCAAGAACATAGAACAGTATAGAACATAGGCATTTGCAAGAAAACAGAATTATCATTAAGATAGGAGAAATTTCATACCTGATGATTATAAAGATAACGGCGCATTTCGTGTTTATGTTGTTCCGACAATACTGTATTCAGTGCACCAGTTATGGAGAGAGTAATTATCTGTAATCAGATTTAGCTTTTGTCAAGCTTCAGCAAAAGAGTTTTAGCCAAGAGAGACTAAGTATATGAAACTGACCAGTCCTGGTAGAAGAAACATAGGACCACCATAATCTCCAGGCCAGTGCCCATCATGCGCCTGTATTGTTGAATAGAAATCTAAACCCCTCTTTAACGTGTTCTCCACAATCTTCTCTGTAACATCATCAGTATCTCCGATTTTGACTTGTGGTAACACTGCGCTAATCACATTTTCTCTTGCAAACTACATATAGAGAAAGACACAGAGACAAAGATAATCCTCAGATCAGAAACATTTAGCTCTAGCTTCATACCTATGGTGAACTATCTAGATGCTAAACTTCAAAAGCTCCACAACACTACAAGTCAAGGTTTAGTAAAAGGAGATCGATGATACCTGAAGACGCATAAGCAGATCGGAGCTATGTTTCTGAAAGAATCGGTTCTCAGCGAAAGAGGTTCTAGCTTTTTCGACGGCGGCGAGTTCTTCCGGTGTACCGAGACTCGGATCGAACTCCCAAAACTGTCTTCCGACGTGATTGTTGGTGGTTCTCAGCCATGGACTACCTCCTTCGGCGATCTTCAGTTTCCACATTATGTGAGTTGAATCAAAGAGATTGGTTGAAGAAGAAGAAGAAGAAGGGATTGGATCAGAGAAGAGGAATAGTGGATTTTGGATGAAACCGAGGATTGAAGAAGAAGAAGAAGATGTAAATTAAATAATAGAATTGGGAGAGTGAAGGATGTGGATCCAAATAAGGTGGTTAAGTAGAGAAATTAATAAATAAAATAAATAAATGCTGATCTGTCAAGTCATTTCAATATTAATTTTATGTATATATTATACTTAATATGTTCTAACCCTCAGTACACGGCTCAATTTTTTAAAAATAAAAAAATTTGTTTTATTTAGTATTTAAGATTGAGAAAATATTTTGATTGTTAATTATATATTTTAATTCGTGTTATAACGGAACACAATTTTTGTAACTAATTTTTTTAAGTTTAAGTTATATTTATTAATTAATTATGTATAATAATTAAGATGATACTATTGTATAATTTAATTCGTAAAATATTATATGATAATTTGTTTTTTATATTATCGTAATTTAATCAATTTAATTAAATATATCTGATATTTATTTAATTTATAATATGTTAGACTAAAATATTTTGTATGTAGACAATTTATAAGAAAAATATAATTTTGTAAAATAAATAAATGCTAATCGGTCAAGTGATTTCGATATTAATAATATATGTGTGTATATATTTAGTCGATTTCATGTACGTACGTATAGTTGTATTTTTTATTAGTATGATATGACTAACTCACTGACCTCTCTGGTTCAGATATGAATATTCGCTGTCAAAAACAATATTATATAATTTGTCTCTAGCTTAGTTGCAACACTTGTTCTAAGCCTAATCCAAAAATGGTAGTTGGTGAATAATGTATACATGTAGGCATGACCACGGTTACGGTTAATGCGGTTATGGTTAATTAACCACCGGTTAACGGTTATAATTTTTTAACCATAACCTTAATCATTATATATACGGTTAAGACGGTTACGGTTATATACGGTTACAGTTAATTACGGTTACGGTTAAATACGGTTACGGTCATTTGATGATTATTATAATATTAATATTGGAGATAAAATTTTATGAAATATTATTTATTTTACAAGTAAAAAATATATGTGATTTCAATTATTTATAGTGAATTAGTTAAATATGGGTATTGTATACAGTTATAATATAATTTATTTTAAAATTTTAAATATGCGGTTAACCGAGCGTTTAACCGTACGGTTAACCGACGATTAATTACGGTTAATTATGGTTACGGTTAATTAACGGTTACGGTTATTATTATTTTTTAACCGTAACTAATTTACTTTTACGGTTAACGGTTACAATTTTTAACCGTTTTATACGGTTACGGTCCGGTTACGGTTGATAAACGGTCCGGTTACGGTTAAAAATACGGTTAAGGTTAGCTTTTGGTCATGCCTATATACATGTATAAAATAAGAAATTGATAAAAAAAAGAAAAAAGTTGAGACTGAGATATTTTGATTTATTATTATTTACAGTTTTGTGTGAATAAATCGTTAATTTTTTTAATTTTATCTTTTATCTCTTAAAAAATAATAATTTAAGTTGTCAATTAGGATTATTATCCATAATGCCAGTTTTTGATCCAATATAATCGAAAATGTCAGTTTTTTATTGGGCTTCTAAGGCCATCTTTAAAAGGATAAGTAGGAAGATGGTTCTTAGATGTAAAAAATAAATAGATTAATATAAGAGCTTAAGTTAAGAACCAAAGTTATAGACTTAATTACTGGTTGAACTTTTAGATTCTTAAAAATTAAATAAATAAAAAATGTAAAACATATAAAAAAGTATAAAAATGAAACAAATAACTTTTTAACTTTAAAACATTAAAAATAATTGTAAATTTGATTTTAAAATAAAATGAAACAGAAAATACAATTATAAATTATTAACAACAACAAAAAACAATAAAGATAAAAAGAAACAAACATATTAATTATTGCACGCAAACATTTTATTTAATTAATACAAAGTTTAAAAACTTTATTAATCATTTGGAAGATGTCCAAATTTAGTCCATATATTCTCGGGAGAATTTCAAAAATACTCTTTTTTCAATACTACTTTTTAAAAATACCCTTCTTTCTAATTTTATCAAAAAGTGACTATAAAATTTGAAATTTATCAAAAAAATTATGTGTAAGCTTATATTTATAGACACAAAATATCTTTATATGTATGTAAATTTACATATATATTTCATAAATACCGGATAAATACCTTTTAAAAACCTTATAAAAACTTTGTAAACATTTTAAAAACCTTATAAAAACCTTATAAATGACGTTTATAATCTTTTAAAACCTTATAAATATTTGGATTTAGTCTCCCAGTAGTAATGATGATCTTGATATACCTTATCAACCATATATAAGCTTATAATTTTTCATATTTGAAAAAGGTATTTTTGAAAATGGATAGAAAATGAGGTATTTTTAAAAAGGGGTACACCAAAAGGGGCATTTCTCAAAAATTCTCTCCAACAAATGTAAACATTTTTTATTAACAAAAATTCGGAATCACTCACGATGTGCCACATGTCTTAAGATCCCAGTCAAAAAACTTCTTATGCTAGAACCGAATGCTTCTTCCAAAACCACTGTATTATTATTTTTGGATTTTTTTTAATAGAAGAAGAACCACGCAGTTATGCTGTTAAAGATGCCCTAAAGAGTGCCATATATAGTAAAAAGCATGTGGCTGAATAGACTAAAATAACTTCAGCCAAAAGGAGAGGATTTTGCACGATTTTCAAAAAATGAAGGAGATGTGACATTTTTTTGCCGCAGCTACAGGAACTTTAATTGGTGACAAGGTAAGCTATTACCCAAAAAAACAATTGATTTAGATTGGGTTTAGAAAGCAAATTCGTCCATTGTCCATTGATGTTATTCATTGATGTTGTTCATTGTTGTTGTGCATTGTTGTTGTCCATTGTGATTTTCAAAAAAAATGAAGGAGATGAGACTTTTTTTTTTGCGGCGGCTACATGGACATTAATTAATGACAAAGTTTGCTATATACGTATGATAGACAACAAATAGGAAACAAAAATTTTTCTATTACAGACATCTGATCTAGTCCACCGGATCTAGTCCACTGGATCTAGTCTACCGAATTTAGTCCACCAGATTTAGTCTACTGGATCTGGTCTAGCGATTATAGTCCATCAGATCTAGTCTATCTATACACAAATGTGAGATCCAAAGTGTAAACCTCGATGGATCATAATGATATTTTCCATAGATGCACTGCATGTTTCATACTCTGGTAATTCACTTGTGGTTTCAAGAGACTTGTATGATGGACAAGTTTGGTCCATCGGTTTCAGTTCACCAGATCTGGTCCATTGAAAGACAAAAACAAAACATGGCTGGAAAATTGATTTGGTCACCAACGTGAATCACATACCTACCTAGAGTGAGAGCATCGTTGTTCATTGTTGTTGTCAAAACAGTTTCTTCCTCCAAGTCTTTGGTCCGTTGTTAGATGTTATTATTGGTGAGAGATATTGAGGGAAAAGATAAATTGTTGACCTGAATGAAAAGGTTTGGAGAGAGAAAGAATGTATGTTTGGAGAGAGAGAGCGCTGGAGCTACGAAAAAGAAAGAGAAACAAAAATTTGGGCATTTATTTTATTGATTATTTATGTGTGAATTGTATAAGGGTACAATAGTATTTTAAGAAAAAGGTTGTGGCAGGCGGAAAAAGAGATTTGGGAAACTGGCATTAGCCAAAAAGATGAACATTGTTCATGGCAATGCTCATAATTTTCTCTTGTCAATTCTATTTTTTATCGTCAATTTTTGCAATTCTATCTTTTTACGTTTTCTAATATATATATGTGTGTGTGATCTATATCTAGCTTAGTTGCAACACTTGTTCTAAGAGACTAAGCCTAATCCAAAAATGGTAGTTGGTGAAAAATGTATACATGTATAAAACAAGAAATAATGAAAAGAAAAGTTGAGAGACCAACACAAACAAGAATCAACCAAAGATATTTTGATCTATTATATAGACGGGTTTTGTGCAATTGCAACTTGAAAATATGCAAATCAATCATATTAAGTTTAAAATTAATACATAATATAATATTTATAAGTATTTTTTCAATGTTTTACAGTCATATATATTCGTTTTCAAAAATTCTATAGATAAAATTGAACTTTTTCGCAAAAGGTTCACTTTAATATATTATTTAGTAAAATTCAACAAACATGACGATAGTAAAGACGGGTTATATTGCATTTTTTACTTCTTAGAATTAACTTATATTTTCTGGATTGAGAGGATAAAGTTAAAATATATGGTGATTTAGAAGGTTTATTTGCTGAAAACTCTATTATTTATACAAAGGGAATTATCATCGTCGATATTTGTGAACATTTACATTTATACTTTTAAAAATTAAAGTGTCAATTTATTTATAAATTAATTATGTATTTAATTTATAATTTTATTTTTATGAAAGTTTAGTGTAATGTTTTATTACACTTTCATTTTTCTAATTCTCTATGCTATATACTTAACTTTGTTTGATTCTCAATTGTTAGAGATTAAATTTTTGTTGCCTTGTGGAATTAATAATAAATTAATTCAATATAGTCTAGATATATTTATTTCTGAAAGATAAAATTGTGGTTGATTTATATATATCAGGGAGGAACATAAATTTGTGAAATGGTAAGCAACCCACAAAGAATCACTCTCATGAATCCATAGCTAGCAAAGCATTAAATTTGCTATAGTTGGGACTCACATGAAACAATTGATTCTTATTTTGATTCATAAACTAATCCACTCGACCAACTAGAAATATCCTCACACTAGTCGAAGACAATGTATCCCACACCTGTCAAAAAACAAAGTACAAAATCACTATAAACGAACAAGAAACTTCGATATCTTATCCTTACATGACACAATCCATTTCGTATCTTGTCTCTAGCCAAAGTGTTGGTTTTGGCACATACAATGCAATTCTTGCATTGAGATATCTCAATCTTAACCACAGAGCATTGACAATTTAGACACGTTAACTCGGCTCTTATGTTGTCGGTTTGTCACATAATTTTCAAAACTATAGTGCTATACACAATATTCTTAATAATTTTATCCAGTTTAGGTATAGTAAAACTTCTATAAATTAATAATTGTAATAAATTAATAAGTTTCTCCGACCCCAAAATCGACCAGTGTAATTTTGAAAACAATTCAATGATATAATAAGAATAATGTTTTTTTTAAAAAAATCCTATATAGATATATGGTACCATTAATACTAAAAGTTAATATTTTTATGTACATATAGATGTAAAATAATTTAGTAAAATATGACTTTTGTGTTATTTTTTCTATCTCAAAATTTTTTGTTGTTATATTCAGAACATAATAGTGTTGTTTTTCTTGCAAGTGATTCTCAAGAAAAATGGTTATAAGGATTAAATTTTTATTTTTAAATATATATATATTTTGAAATTATCTCTATAAATTTACCTTTAATTTATAATTTATAGAGGTTTTACTATACACCTAATTCACCAAAAATCACTAACTTTTCTGTTTTTAAAAAAAAAATTCAAATGTGAAATTAATTGTAAATCATTTGTAAAGTGGACCATTCTTATAAAGCCCAATACATAGCCTAAAAGATCCCAAAATTAATTAACAACTTGTCTATATCTTGATTCCCTCCGTAAAGCCCAATCCAAATTTCCAATGAATATATATCGTAAGTAAAACTTGGCCATTTTGTTCGTTCCCAAGTTTCTATTAGACCATCTCCAATGGTTTCCTCTATATTTGACTCCAAATATAGAGATCTCTAAAAATATAGTAGATATTTACTCCAATGGTTTTTCTATTTCTTACTCTGAAATAAATATTTTAAAATTATTTTATATTTTAAGTTTGTTCTTAATTTCTAAGATAACCCTTTAGTTTTTTTTTGTCGTCATAACCCTTTAGTTTTAAAACCTACAAATTATAACCACTTATTTTATTCCAAACCAAAAACCAATAAAATGAAAACTCCTTCGGAATCTACTTCATTTGGACAATACTTTGATAACCTTAATGGATCCGGAAGCGATCTACCGGATTATTAGTCACTAGTTTATGTTGTGTTAAGTTTATTTTGTTAACAACATGTTTTTATTTGAGTTTTCTATTTATATATTAATCTATGGCACTAGATATGTATTTTCATTTTATTGTTTGTTATGTTATTATGTTTTCTAAGTTAAATATATTTATTTTTGTATTTTGAATTTTAAATTAATTAATATATTTGTTTTTAATATAAATTTTTATAAGTGTAAATTTTTATTACATAATATTGTTTATGTATATAATGGTAAAGTAAGATAATTGAGGGATTACTTTGTAAATATAAAACAGGAGATACACTATTCATTTTTCTATTTTTAGAGTAGGATATAAAGTACGATTGCTGATAGTTTTACTCCAATATAGAATTTGGAGTAAGAAATAGAATACCATTGGAGATGCTCTTAGAAGCAAATAGACCGTGTTAAAGTTAATGATCCGGATAAAGTATACTTTGTAGATACAGTCATAACCAGTAAAGAAAGTCTTATTAAGAAGAGTAGAAGACACTTGATCTTGTTGTAGCTGATAAGCAAAGAGTCGTAATTTTGGATGATACAGTTGATGTTTGGCCTCATGACAAGAGAAGCTTGTTGCAGATCACCACAGAGACGATGATGATAATACAAAGTCCAAGTCTTACGCAGAAAAGAAGATAGACGAGATCATTGGCGAATGTTCTGAAATTTATTCGGGGTATTCACAAACGATTCGATAAGGAGTTAGATACATAAGACTTGAGGCTGTTTGATACATGATCCTTGCAGAGACAAGGCTGCTTCTGTTTGAAATGTATTTGTAATGGTCAAGTTTGGGGATATATGTTCGACTTATATCAGAAGCAGCCTTGTCTGAGCAGCATCTACATTTCTAGGTACTCTGCCATGTTTTGTTCTCTTCAGGCTAAATTCAGAGCAAGAAACAATATCTTATTCTAAGACCAAAAGAAAAATTCTATGTATTAATTGACAAGTTAACCAAAAGCTAGGCCTGCAAAATTCTAATTATTCATTGGTTAAAAAAAACATGTATGTACTTAACTTACTTTATGAAAAGAAGAACACATTCCTCTTTTTAAACGTTCTTTCAGATAGAGAAAATCCATCGAGCATCCTTGAGAGTCATGCTGGAGGGAGCAGGGAAGGGTTCGACGGTCTAGGTCGGTTTGTCCTACAAAAGCTAGCTAAAATACCTAAAAGGGCTTGGTTTATCAACTACAGTTGCTGCTGCTCGAGTTACTTGAATCTGTGTAATTCTTCGTGAGCAGCTAGAGCTTCCATGATGCTTTCAACCCACCTGCCACACACACACACACACTCAAACCCATGGAAAATCCAGGTTACGATAGTACTTGATTAGTCGGTTATGTGAAAAGAGAACTCAGTCCAGAGCCTAGTTGACATGTTCCACCATATCAAAAGATCAAGATTTTTACCCTTCAAGTCCTGGTTTCTCTGGGTAGTATACGTTTTTCAATCCTAGTCGTCTTGCAGCTGATGCAGTTGTCTCTCCAATGCAGGCAGCGAATTTGCTCCATTGCTCCTCGTTTTGAATCAGATTCAGCCAGGCCCTGTCGAAACCCACTCAACCGTATTAGAAGATATATGTATATATATATTTATAGGAATGACTGGTAACAGCATTCCCCTAAAGTTTGCTGCACCAACTAATGATCAAAGACGGACATATGATGAGTGGCAATAGGATAATCACAACCGATGGTGCCTACCGAACTGCAGAAGGTGAAGCTACAGAAAGAACAGGAGCAGACAGTGCCTGTTGCAGGAGCACGTAATCAACATTCTGAACAGGAACCTAGCAATAGAAAACAATGAAACTGATCATTACAATATCTTCAAATAAGTACATACTAAACGGCGAGTGCCCATATAAAAATGATGACAAAGTTGCAATGAATTACATTTTCAAGGGCTTGTCTAGTAAGTGTAAAGACGGCTTACTGTTGTGTATGTATTCAGCCTGACAACTTCAAATCCACGTTTGGACAACCCTTCCTCTAAGATTCACATGTAGAAAGGGAAGCAGGGTAAGCTGGTCAGTCATGGACTGTAAAATCTCAAAAATATAACCAATAGCTAAATTTACGTAGTAGATTTAGTCAGTTGTCCATGTGCTAGGGATTATTCCACACATCTATATGGAGAAGGACAATGCAAAAGTTACAATGCTATTCAACTTTTGTAATACTATCACTTTGGAAATGAAAGTAAAAGTACAAAATTGTAATTCCAAATCTATTTTCTCCCGCACTAACAGTTTCACTGCATCTCCAACAAGTTTTTATAATTTGGTGAAGATCTGAATTCTAATGCAATAATTACCATGGTATTATTCAACTGCCTAAAAATATTGTACATGATATGAAATTATTATTTATTTATTCTTCTATGTGATCAACTATAAGTTCTGAATTGAGAAAACCTAACAAACACACACCAATATCATTGCCTGCTTTTAGAGAAGCCGGGTATAAGACAGACGACCTTTTGCCGACTTTCTTTGGAAGTTCTGAAGCCAAGACTTTACCAGTTGCTGAAATAATGAAAACAAAGAGAATGAACCAGCCAAGACTATAACATTGTATGTACAACCACTAATCCATTACCTATACATATATATTGACTTGATGAATCCAAACACATAAAGAAAATACTTAAACATTGATGGGACAATGCCACAGAGAACAAATGTCGCTTGACTCATAAGTAATTCATTATCTCATAAAACTAAATATGATCTTTGATGCTCGGAAATTCATGGAAACAAACTATGACAAAGTCGTATATAGTTCACGTCATCGTAGTCACGCACAAGCATATAAATGCTTGAAGATGCAAAAATTGCTTGAAGATGCAAAAATTGCAGATATAAATGCTTGAAGATGCAAAAATTGCAGATATAAAGACTAAATGGAGGGTATAGAAACAGAGTCTAAATAGAAAGTTATTGAACCTTTTGATGGTGTAAAGGCAACATGAAGCAATCCTTGTGCCGATTGCATTGCTTCTTCAAATACCCGGGCTGTTCCAGCTCCTACTACACCTATTTGCACTTTTGGAGAGCTAGCTGCCCTGAGGAATTGAGACTAATGAGGTCTAGCTAAAAGGAAAGAAGGTAATGAGGGAAAGTGTTCAAATTTATAAAGATAATACGAAATGTTGATAAACTCTTATGTTCACCTCCTCATGTCAGAAAAATGTATGAAGGCTTAATAAAAACATAGACTAGTCCCATTCCAATTAATAACGATATCAACGACAGTCAAGGAGTGAACTCTCACTAGCAACAAATTCCATAACTTTGTTCAGAGTAGATTAGGCGTTAAGAAACTCATAAAATGCCATTGCATATTCTGACAAGACAAAGGTTACTGAAACAGTTCAAAGAGATGAATAGGTCAAGAACTAGGGCTTACTTCCACGCCTCGAGAAAGACAGAACCTGCTTCTGGAGATGTTATGATGATCCAGTCAAAGCTCTTATCTAACAAAATAAGAAGTGAATCTACATATCAGAATACCAAAATCTAATATAACAATACCAAAAGCCTTTAACAACCCTTAAATTCTGAGTTAAGTAAAGAGAGACATTCAAAAGCATATCAACAAGATGAAGCAAGAGTTTTTCTCCACTATCATGAATTCGCAAGCCGCATAAGAACTCACTAAGTCTAACTTCTAAAGTAAACAAGTCACTACTAGTTCTAATCAAAGAACCAATTTTTAGAGCAAAGAAGTCACTACTAGTTCTTTTCAAAGAACCAAATTTTAGAGTAAAGAAGTCACTACTAGTTCTAATCAAAGAACCAATTTTTAGAGTAAACAAGTCACTACTAGTTGTAATCAAAGAACCAATTTTTAGACTAAACAAGTCACTACTAGTTCTAATCAAAGAACCAATTTTTAGAGCAAAGAAGTCACTGCTAGTTCTAATCAAAGAACCAATTTTTAGAGCAAAGAAGTCACTACCAGTTCTAATCAAAGAACCAATTTTTTGAGCAAAGAAGTCACTACTAGTTCTAATCAAAGAATCAATTTTTAGAGTAAACAAGTCACTACTAGTTCTAATCAAAGAACCAATCTTTAGACTAAACAAGTCACTACTAGTTCTAATCAAAGAACCAAATTTTAGAGTAAAGAAGTCACTACTAGTTCAAATCAAAGAACCAATTTTTAGACTAAACAAGTCACTACTAGTTCTTGTCAAAGAACCAATTTTTAGAGTAAAGAAGTCACTACTAGTTCAAATCAAATAACCAATTTTTAGACTAAACAAGTCACTACTAGTTCTAATCAAAGAACCAATCTTTAGAGCAAAGAAGCCGTCACTAAGAAACCACCAGTTAATACAGAGGCAAGCCTATCAAAATCAGGTCCCAACGCATGTTTAATCAAAGGAAGCTCTAAAGATGAGATCCCATGTTTCTCCTGCAGAGAGGATAACATTAAAAAATTAGCTTTAGTCTATAGGATTCAATACAATAAACCCACAAATCAAATTCAGTGTAAGCTTTATTTAAAAATGCATACCAAAGCTTTGATGATTTGATTGTTCTTGCCTCGTTCTCGGGTTAAGACCACCTGAGGAATCGAACTTGAGGAAGAAGATGAAGAGTGACAATGGCAAATTGGATTTCGAATTAGAGAACGGAAAGAAGAAGAAGACGATAATGGCGGTTGAAGAGATAAGAGAGACAACGCCATTAGAACAAAGTTCTGTCAGGGAGAGAGACAACGCCATTAGAAGATGAAGTAAATCAATCGGAATATTTATATTATTTATATTACAAGCAGTTTTTTTAAACAAGAAAATCAACCAAAACTATTTCCCGAATGTATTTTCATAGTCCAACTCACGTTCTCTGAATTTTACAACCTAAACCAGTTTTCAATTTAAATAACCAACATGAACCATATCAAATTTTGTCAATTTTAACCTCAACGTTAACAGTATCCCTACCCATCTGTAAAAACCAAGAGAACTGAACTTGGTTTTTATAGAAGCTTAACCTTGATTGTCCAAATCTTCAAGATGGGCAATGGGCAGGGTTACTGTTAACGTCGAGGTTGAAATCGACAAAATTTGATATGGTTCAGGTTGGTTATTTAAATTGAAAGCTGGTTTGGGTTGTAAAATTTAGAGTACGCGAGTTTGGTTATGAAAATATCTTTGGGGAATAGTTTGGGTTGATGTACCCCGTTTTCCCTGAATTAACCCTTAATTATATTAAAAATGGCAAGTAAAAACTTATTAATAAAACTTAAAATTTAATTTCCTGTAAATTTTTAACAACTCCATGTTACTAAATCATTATTATTTTTCTTTGAATAATATAGATAATTAAAATTATGTAGTCCAAAATTAAAGTTAGTTAACATTTTGTAAAGATTTGAGTTGGTGTAATCATGTAAAGAATGTTCTTATTATATACATAAAACTAACTAGATTTTAACCCGCGGTACACGGAGGGAGAAATTTATTTTAAAATTATTTGGAATTTACTTACTAATTATTAATAATTATTAAGATTGCATAATATCAAAATTTTAAAATAATTTGACAATACATTTCCAATATTGGTGTTGTTAAATGAATAGTAAAATGAATATTTTAGTTGTATTAAAAAATAAGATTAATGATATTTTAACTTTTTAGTAATATCTGTTCAAACACGTCTTACAACCATTCCCGTCATATAATTTGTCTGTATTAGATTTTCAATTAACTTTAAATATTTAATATATCAACTATAATATTTTACAACTTCTTAAAAGTTCAATATTTAATATTTAAAATTTTTTTAAAATTTAAAGGGTATTAAGCCGAATAAAACTTTTAAGTTTGGACGACTAAGAAATCAAACGTTGTGCTCATTTGTAGTGGAAAGCATATTAATCCTATTAATAATGGTTCTGGACCATTGTTTAATTTTTTTTACCCGATGTGGGATGTTGTACATATATATATTTTTTTAAAAATCGATTAAGTAATATAAGTCCGCTTTAAAATTTTCAAATTGCAATATATGTGAAAAACACTATTTTTATTATACATATGTTTAACATAAGAAAAATTTGAAAAACAAATAAAATATCATATAAACATGAAAGGAGATAATGAAATTGGAAAATGATATTAATATCTATTAAGGAGAGATTTTAGGAAAATGATAAATATTAGTTATAGTTTTCTTAAATAGATAATTACTGTCAATGGCATAGATTGTAAATAGTTTGGAAGTATAGGATTTATTTCAAAAACTGCTGCAAAAATGTTAATATAGATATGTACCCATCCATACTGAAGAGTATGTAGAATCTAGAAAGGAACTTCCAAATGAGTCTACATGTATAATAAAACCTCTATAAATTCCTACTTGGTAGATAATCATTACAATTATAAAAAAAAAATTTAGAGTTAGACCAGTTCAGTAAAAATATGAAGTTAACATAGGACTTTTAAAATGGAAAATTACAATGTTTGGTCTCAGATGACTTGAAAATTGACTGACCCAATCATTTTCTTGTATCCCAATCTCAAGCTTGGTACCGTGTGTTTGTAACCCACCAACGTGTCCACCTTGACTCCCTCTTGTATCACTGCAGCTATAGCGTGGGGACACACTATTGTTAACATCTAGAACTCGCGTCATGTGCAAGTTCTCTCCCATAGATGGACTGCGAATGATTGGTTATCATCATCTCTAACATTTTGTACACACCAAATCCTGCTCCTTTCTCATAGTTCTCTATTACCATTTCGTAGACCTTAGGGGGCAAAATGTTATCTTCCAGATTTGCCGCTTCTCTCCGCAGTGCAAACCATGTAACCAATGTCGTATGTATCGTCTCCAAGATAGAAATTACCGGGTAGTCGCGCGCCATGGTGAGCACATTATTCAACGATTCTGGTATATTACTTGTCATAACATTGAACCGCTCGCCCACGAAATGGGATCGTGTCCAATGTTCGAACCCAATACCGGTTAGGTAATCAGCACAATATGGACTCATCACCTTGATCTCAGCAAATATGTGGTTGAAATTTTGTAGCCTATAAGCTCGAGCTGCATTGGAGACTAAACAGCTTAAAGGCTCAGACTTGAATAGTGAGATGATGTTCCGTTTGAGATGGACGACGCATGCACGACATTGGGTAAACCTTTTTACACAACGTGTCAATTAACTATGTTATTCCGATAACATAGTGTCAAAATGTAATTGTGAATAACACCATTATCCGATTACTTATCGATAAATGGACAAAACAATTATTAACACATAGCCTAACAATTATCTGATAATGATGCAACTACTGTGTTGGAAAACAGAAAATGACGTCCACCTCACACTAATATATTTATCTGATAATGAATTATAGAACAGCTAATGTGTTTTAATTTCAATATATATATGTTACAGGTTTTAAACATATTAACCATTTCTAGATAACACGATTATATGCTAAATAAAATGTTAGCTAACAATTATAATAACTTAGTTATCGGAATTATGTAATGGGTGAAGATATGCAAAGTTTCGACTAACAAACTTTTCTGCTAATCTAATTATCAGATTTACCTTTCGTATGCTTGCGTTGATCGATGAATGCCTGTCTGATACGCACACCAGTTCTGGTTCGTCGGGCACGACGGCTGTTAGTTTCTCTAGAAACCATGTCCACGCTGCATCGTTTTCACTATTTACGATCCTGAAAGCTAGGGGAAAAATCTGGAAGTTTGCGTCCTGAGCGCTTGTGGCAATCAAGCAGCCGTCGTACCTTCCTCGGATGTGCCCGTGAATAGATGCAGCCAGCGAGAGGAAAAGATACTTAAATCGGTCAACGCCGGTGCTATCCGTTTTGGTCTCCAGTGTCACTAGCGATCCCGGATTTGTTTCCAAGAGCAATTTGAAATATGGCTGGATTAAGGTGTAACTCCCCATGGCTGACCCCATGGCATTGTCCATAGCTATTTCTCTTGCTCGCCACGCTTTCCAATATGAAACGTTTAGGCTGAATTCTTGGCGAAGTATCTTTCGTAGCTCATTGGGTCTTGGTCCTCTTCCCACGCCGACGTACCTTGTCTGCATCAGGTTGCCAATCCCCGCCGTGGACGCCTGCTTGTGGAAATCTCCACGAGCATCCACACTACACGTATGGTGCAGTACGGTGCTTCTTATCTAGAAACGGTCGCTGTCAGGCATTTTAGTTGCATACACTCGCCATGGGCAGGTATGGCTGGTGCAGACGGACATAAATTTTGTCGGGCCAGATTTGGAATTTATGAAGTGAAATTTCCGTATGATGGCGTGAATTGCCATTTTTGTCATGCAGTCCTCTTTGTTCTTGAACAATCTCCCGACAAAGAGAGCGTCTCCCTCGTAGTCAGCATTCTTGAGAGCCCTATTCAAGAAATCTGGAATTGGCACAAAAGATAGAATTGATGGTTTAGTAAACTCTATTAGATGCTAATATATAATAGATATACAATGGTTACGTTAGCTGATACAATGATTATCAGTAAACATCATTATATATGTGTGTTCGACATTTATGCCTGAATATGCGACCTTTCAAATTATTAGCATTAGTTAAATAGCGCACTATCTAATTACTTAACGGTTAATATTAATATTATTGGATAACAAACGTTTTTAGTATTATTGGATAACAATTGGTAAGACCAACTACACGCTTATCGCAGGTCTGGCGGTGTGCATATCGGACCATCGGTGTCAGTAAAATAGTGCGACATAATGTCGTCTCCTACAAGAACGAGTGATAAACCATTTTTAAACACCAGGAGTAAGTAACATATCACACTAACATGTTATCTAAATAACACAAGACTTACCGTCTGAGTCGATTAACACTTCAGAAGTGAATGACATTGTTGTTGTCTGTGTAAGCGTTGTCTCGTTGTAGGAGCTAGACGATGACACCGCAAACACCAAGGGATGATTGGTGCCATCCTTGAGTGCTACTGGTAGGCCTAGGCGGAGACCAACGTCCGCTCGACTGGGTCCATGACTCTCATCGTCAAAGTCTAACTGTCTAGCTACATCCATTCCCCACGCCGGTGTGGCTCGATTCACATATGTCGCAGGTTGAGGGTTGATCTCCCTCAATATTGTGGCCGTGTAGTTTTTGCGTCATTCTGCAAACTCGACATCTAACTCGGTGACGCTACGTCTTTGTCGTTGAGGAATCGTCATCAACCTTTGCCTTCCCCTTGTCTACAGGGGATAAATTAGCTGGTGGCGACGGCTTGGAGACATCATTTATTACTGTCTGCATTACCTCAGCAGATGTCTGATGCCTGACATGGGGTTGAGTCGATTCGTCTGCAACCGGTTCCCAAATCTCGAGGTTACGGGTTAACATTTTTGTTAACGCCGTATTCCAGATAGACTGTGTTTCCGCTGTATTCCAATATTTAACAGATAACTCCTTAGAGGACAGAGCTCCCATATCGGTGTTACTCCGATATGATTTTACATTTTTTGAGGAGCCCACCTTGATGATCTTAACACGCAGATTCACCTCTTCCAAATTTGCGCGGATGGCCATGAATAAGGTCATATTCTCATCATCGAGGATATCTATTGGGTACGCTCGTTTCCACTAAGGCCCCATCATCCATTCTGGCCATTGGTAAGTCAGCTCGACATCATCCTCAGCGCTTAGAGCCATACGATCTTTTACCGCGCTAACAACCGTAGCGAAACTGTCAGTCTCTCGAATTCGCACAGCTAAAGTGAAGCCATCCATGGAAGAAAAATGCTCGTAGTTCCCATCGGCGTCCCTTTTCCATTCTCCCCTAACCAAACCAACGAGCATTGTCATAACTCTTCATGTAACATGATAAACGATAAATTGTTAGTTAACAGACATTAAAAAATTTAGCATAACAACTATTACCGGGAAGTAACGACGATTCAAAGCTCATTTATGGGAGATTCCGTCATTAATACTCACATGAGTGTTGCAGGTCGTTCTTCAGGGTTTTACTCTCTGGAAATTCTCTACTTCTTTGATTGTTTTGTGATTTCTTGTAGACCAACTTTAATAGACGGTAATAAATAGGCTATCACTTTTTCATATCTTGCAACAACAAATCAATTAGCGTATATAATCATTAGTTTTCTCTTACACAATCTTTTTGGCCAAATCTCACTTCAGACGCTTGTGTCAGGCGGCGCAAGCTTTGGCAGGTATTTAATGCTCTTGTTACCCCGACAAACGGAACAGATGAAGAGTAGGGCTTCTAATGTAATATTCACACCTACACATTAAAGTTGACTTAATTTCTTTATTTTCATGACTACAGACTTAATTCTTCACTCTACATAGCATTTACGTTTATATCACCCTTTTAAAATGTTATGAGATATAGGGTCCTATCAATTTTATAAATTAATAATTATAAAAATTTATCAATTTGTTGTAGGGTCCTATCACCCTTTTAAAATGTTATGAGATATAGGGCCTAAAATTTGGCTCTACCATTTGTAATACCCTCCCATGGCCTAAAATTTAGGTGAAATGGCTATCGAATGTCTCCCATGATTATAGTCCTATCCAAACTAAAAGAACTCACGTTGACAGTACAAGTTGCAAAACTTTAGATCGTGATCGTGAGGAACGACAAACTGTATGTTATGCGGTTGGAAGATTTGGGCAAACAAATTTTTTTGGGAACCTCGGTTGTGGGCGTCTAACGTCATGACGTCCTCGGTCCATAGTTGGCGTAGAACATGTAGGGTGTTACATCATTGCATGTTTTTCTTTTAATTTGCTTTAGAATCTATTATTAGAGTTCGTTTGCAACATTATTACTACTTTGGAAATTTTTGCGTTCTTTCCAAGGCAAGATAATTGCTTTCCTAATTGTATTTTTATTTTAGAAGAATATCTAGTATAGTAAAAACGATCTTATCTGTAAAGAATTTAAAATTATATAAAAATTATGTAAATATCTATATAAATTTATAGAAAAGAACATAAAATTAATATCTTTATATATTAATAAAATATTTTATACTCGACATGTTGAATTTCAAGTTTTGAGTACATTAATAATTTATTTATTTAATTGTGAATTTTTTATTAAAAAAATTCTTTTTGGAAAGACCGGCTTAAGTCTCATTTAGAGGAAATAGTTTATGATGCAAGATAATGTTATGATTACCCATGAAATCATGCATTCTCTTAAAGTTTGTAAACGGGTGTCATAAATTACATAGCAGTGAAGACGGATGTGACAAAGTTGAGTGGAGTTTTCTTGAAACAACTTTGAAATTTTTTGGAATCTGTAATAAATGTATTGATTGGAAAATGGCTACTGTGAGTTCATTAGCTACAAAATTCTTATTAATGGGGCACCTTACGGTTATGTTAAACCAAAATGAAGACTAAGACAAGGTGATCCTTTGTCACCCTACCTTTTTATTCTATGTTATGATATATTAAGTCATTTGATCAATTTGAAGGCCAAAGATGGGGAGCTTCGGGGAGTCCGCATTGGCAATGGGGTACCGAGTACCACTCATCTTCATTTTGTAGATGATTCACTATTCTTTTGTCAAGCTAATAGAAAATAACTCTCAAGCTCTCAGGGATGTTTTTGATGTATATGAGTATTATTCAGGACATAAGATAAATGCAGACAAATCAATGATAACCTTTGGAATCCGGGTCAATGGTTCAACTCAACAGTACCTTAAAAATGTTCTAGGAATTTCTAAACATGGTGGAGGGGGTAAATATTTGGGTTTACCTGAAGAGTTTGGGCGAAAGAGGAAGAAATGTTCAATTCAATCACAGATCGTGTAAAGAAGCGAACTTCAAATTGGAGCGCTAAATAGTTACACCCGGCAGGTAAAGAGGTTATGATTAAATCTGTAGCATTAGCCATGCTAGTCTATGCAATGTCTTGTTTCAAATTACTGAAGGGTGTGATTTCTGAAATTGAGTCTTTACTAATGCAATTTTGGTGGGAAAAAAGTTATCACAAAAAAAATAATCACTTGGATAGCTTTGAAAAAAAATTACAAATATCAAGAAAAGGAGGGTGGTTTTGGTTTTCATGATCTAGAAAAATTCAGTGATGCTTTACTCGCTATACAGGCTTGGAGAATACTGCAGCACCCTACTTCTTTATTTTCACGTGTAATGAAAGCTAGATATTTCTCTAACATGTCAATCTTAGATGCAAGAGATCAAAAATATTAATCTTATGGTTGGGCGTCTCTTCTATCAGGTATATCTTTATTAAAGAAAGGAATTAGGTATATAATTGGTAATGGCGAACCTATTTGAGTTGGTGTTGATAATGTACAATCACAAAATTGGAGCCATAAAACGAAAACAACTGTTCATGTCCAATTTCCACGGTTAAAACGCAGGCCCCAGATTTCTTGGAGCTACATACAAAATTTGGTGACGATCATGTATTAGACGAACACATGATCGCACTTTCAAACCACGCTAATACCAATTCGCGTCCAATCACCTCAAAAAACTTGAGATATCTCCTAGAGTATTAATACGAATCCAATTACGTAAAAAGGAACATCTAGATAAAATATTTAGGTATAACTATACCAAATTTCTTTACCTTTAGACACGATTTTCTATGTCAAATCCTTATTTCCCCAAAACAGTTCTGCCTCCTTTGTCTTACACCCCAAAAAAAAACTTACTCACCTTCTCACAAATGAATGAGCTCTCCTTCTCTCTTTTTCTTTAAGAAATTCACGTACGATAACAAGGAAAACAGCAGCAAAAGGAGACATCACTTTGTTAAATAATTGGGTTCTTTGTTTAATTTGAATAGACCAGGATTTACCTAAACCAAAATTAATTCAATCACCCTTTGATTTAATCAATAAATCGACTAGCTTAGTAAACCAACCAGAATTAAATAGACTCCACTCCAATTGCCGATACAAACTCAAATGTTCCATAACTTTTCAAACATGGGCATTACAACATCTATCTTGGCGTACTCTTTGAGAGAATTGTTAAACTTGGTAAAGAAACTTTTATACGAGTCTATGTCCCTATATAATTCAAATGTTGAGTACATTATAAATTTCTTTTGTTTTAGGGTTGTTTTATGCTTTTTGGTTAAATAAAAGGAAAATATGTTTCTCTACATTACTTTTCTTACAGAAAAATTCTCACAATAACATCACATGTGAATAGAAAACCAATTTTTTCTATGGGCTTTCATAGGTCGAGAAGGTGTCGACGACACGACATCAATTAACTCCAAGCAGTTGCGGTTTTGAGACACCACTTTTGCATGAAAAACATACTTACTGGCTAACTTGTTAATTTTATTTTTATGACAAATTAATTCCCTCACTTGACACCCCCCTCGATGATCTTCCATCAGCTTCACTCGCATATGTTGAGTAGAAGTCATCATCTCCTTGTTCTCTCTCCTTCATCAAATCTTCCATCTTCTCAACAGCCTCTCTTATATCTAACCTTTTATCCACATCTACTTCGCAACAACTCAGTCCAATTCTCAAGAGTTTAAGTATCTCTGCTTCACAATTGTTAATTTTCCCCATTTCTTGATCAAACAACTCTTGTGTCCACTCTCCTTGGAAAATCGACCTCACCCAACTAGCAAGATTCTCCTCACTTTCTTTATCGACTTGAGGGAAACTTTCAGGAATCTTTCCTGTAAGAATCTCCAAGATGAGTACACCGAGCCCCCACACATCGGTCTTTTTAGTCACACGGCTTTGTTTCAAGTACTCTGGGGATTTGTAAGCCACCATGAGCTCTTGTGCGCTCTCTTCATTGATCACTGGGATCAAGCCATAGTCCATAAGAAGAGGCTCAAACTTCTCACTAAGAAGAACATTAGATGATTTTAGATGACCGTGAGGAGCCATTAGGCTAGGTAGATTTTTGTGGAGGTACAAAAGTCCATGTCCTACACCTTTCACAATATTTAATCTGGTTAGCCAATCCAAACTTGGTTGCCCTAACGATTTATGACCTAAATTGATACATAAAAATGGATAAATTATTAGCAAAAAAAGATTTAAATGTAGTGTTTTCTGATGAATGAATGTAAGGAAAGGAAAATAATAATACCATGAAGGTGAGCAGCCAAGCTTCCCTTTCCAACAAAATCGTAAACAAATAATTTTTCCTCTTTTTTGTAATAATAAGCTACAATAGGGAGCAAATTCTCATGGTTTAACCTCCCCAATCTCTTCATGTGTTCTTGGAATTCCTCAGTTCCTGCATTGTTCATATGTTTAAATCTCTTCACTACCATCATTGACCCATTCGAAAGCAATGTCTTATATGACGCTCCAAAACAGCCACTTCCTAGAATCTCAGCTGATGCTTTTAATAAATCTTGCAACTCAAATTTTTCCTTGTCATCTCTTAAAAATGACAGTTTTGTTGTTTGAATCATCCTCTTTGCCGCCCGGTTTTGTGAATGGTAGCTAGTTTGTCCCTTTTCACTTTCTTGGATTCCAGCTCTTATCTGTAAACTTGATGGTCCAGGTTCTGCTATCAGTAGTGGATGTTTCTTCCTTCGTCTACGGTTAATAAAGATGATCATTCCAATAATTATGAGTATTACAGCCAGTGCTGCTACCACTGCAGCTACAATGTACAAAAACATTGATGATTTTTTCTTGGAGTTGGTCTTTGGCGCTGGGGATAGGTTGTAAGGAGAAGAACATTTTGTACCCAAAGGTTTTTCACATAAACCGTTGTTGCCTGGCAAAAAAATGGTTATCTATAAAAATAATCATATATGCGATTTTCTTAGAACAACAAAAGAGAAGAAAACCACTTCACCTTCAAATAATTTTGGATCCATTGTACTCAGAATTTTTGGGATTGGGCCAGTTAATGCATTGTTTGAAAGGTTTAACATATGTGGTTTATGTGTGAACTCGGGAATTTTTCCAGTGAAACGATTCCCGTCAAGTCTAAGCTCTAAAAGCTTGGGACTTTTGGCCAAGGAGTCTGGAATTTCACCACGAAACTTATTATGCTCCAAATGGAGTTTCTTTAACCACCCCATTCCATCAAATGCATCTTTAGGTATCTTTACGTCAAACTGATTGTTTGACAAGTAAAGTGATTTTAGAGCAACAAGTTTCTTGAACTCTGGAAATGGACCTCCAAACTTGTTATTCATGACACTAAGAGACCTGAGAGACTTCAAACCCATCAACGCCTCAATGTATAGAGAGCCAGAGAGCTCAAAGTTTTCTAGTCGTAATCCCCAAACAAAGCCGCTATCACACAAGACACCAATCCATTTACATGGAGGGTTCGTTCTATCCCAACTATTCAAAGCATCTGCTCTCCCTATAACAAGAGATTTCTTGAATTTCAAGAGAGATTCGGTCTCTGATACGCCATGAACAGCCACCAAGACAAGAGATACAATGGAAAAGAAGACGAATGATGTGGATTCCATAGCCAATCAAGGAACGCGCACAGGATGCGCGCCCCTCCAAGGGAAAGATGGAAGGAGAATTTGGAGATGAACAAAGCTGGAGATAATCTGTGAGATATGGAAGAAATGGCAGAGGAAAGAAAACGTAACAGAAAGAAAGAGAGAGTGATGAAGAAGAGAGGTTTGTATCAAAGCATACTAAGAATAGAAAAGACAATTGAGACATTTGTGGTCTAGCTTCGAAGAAGTCTTTGTTTTAGAGAATTTTAAAGTCACTTGGACATTTGTGGTGGAACATCACATAGTTCCGGTTTCTTTGGTGTTTCTTTTTTGGAAAAAGATTGCTAACTACATGAAGTATAGGAGAATGCATGTTCACACATGCCAAGTATACTTTTGTATTCTCAACTAGACGAAGTAGATGTATTACATGGCCACATGCATCAACTGTACAACTTTATGCGGTGAATACCATAGACATATAATTCTGGTACACTGGTCGACATACTCCGGCGAATACCAACAACTAAAAAAAATCTATAATCAATATTTAAATATTTTATCTATCTTTTGAATATATTCATTCTTATAATTAATTAATATACTATTAAAAACCGTAAAACGATTTAATATATTTTATAATATTCTGATATAATATTAAAAACTAAAATAAATAAATATCTATATAAAAGTGTCTATGGTTTTGTATAAATAAATAAATATATACTCTATATTCAATTATTCATTATCAAAATATTTTGTAAATCTATTTAATAAATTCATTCTTATGATAATTACTTATTTTTAAAAATTTAAAGGTAAACTAATAGTAAAAAAATTTAAGAGATTAAAATTTAAATTAAAACTGGAAAATCCGATTATAGTGAATTAGTAAGGGAATTGCTTATTTTTAGGTTTTAAATTATAAAAAAAAAATTATATGATTTATTTAAATATAAAAATGTTTAATTTGATCAAAAAAATATAAAAATGTTTATGTTGTTTATTTTCCTGACATGTTTTTTCTTTAAACTATCTATATATCATGGATATCTAAAATAAATTATATCTTCAACTTTTTTCATAATACACATTTTAGTGGACGTACGTTGAAACACATTGTATGACTTCTAAATTTTAATGCCTAAATATGATCGGTTACACCTAGAAGAAAGCACTAAAGCAAACCTATAAAACGTATTTAAGTCAACACTTATCATTGATCCAAATGCATTCTAAGCCCTTGAATGATAATTATCAACATTACTACTCATGCTCTTTCTTTGTTTCTTGATATGATTATAGCTTGATTTGACATAGGCTCGAGAAGAGCGATGTGTATAATTAAGAGTACATATTTTGTTATTGATGAAAGGACGTTTAAAATCTGAATACTATTGCATATAGAAATTTTACAATTATATGTTTGTTTCGAAATTAAACTAAATAAAAATTGAAATTAAGAATGTTACAGTTTTGCATAATTTTACTTTAGTTTTATGTTTTATGACCAGAACACAGCTCGAGATATGCAAAATATTCATTCAGTTATATAATAACAGCTTTACCTAAAAGAAAACTAAAAAAACTAAAAAAGACAACAGAACATAACAGAAAAGAGAGTCTGAAACATTGTCTTTTGCCTATTTGCTAATATTAGCATATATTCTCAATACTTATTTGAAAATATGTTGCATTTATTAACAAAGTGTAAAAATCTAGGTTTGTTAAAAAGAGTTTTAGGAAATATATGGTGATGATGGCAGAGGGCGACCGAAGAGACGAAAGCGTCGCGGTTGCGGTTGCGATCGATCGAGGCAAAGGAAGTCAGGCTGCAATGAAATGGGCTGTTGATAGTCTTCTCACACCAGGAGAGACTCTTACCCTTATTCATGTTAGAGTCAAGCAAACCAATCCTAATAATGGTATAAGCCTAATGTTCAATATTATATTTTCATCTATCTACTTAATTAACCCCTTTGTTCTTTTTGTGGATTGATTTTCAAAGATTTTTAATGCATCTTACAAATGAAAATTCAGACTCTAATTAGCTTACAACTACGTTAAAAAAATATATTTAATTGGTCTATAATGTAAAAGAGTCTCCATAATTAGGAATAGAACTAATAAAAAAATCCTACCTTGCGGGGTGACTTAGGGCAACATTATAGGGGTATCTTAGGAGCTAAGATACCCCACATTTTCAAAGAAAAATCTTATGTAAGATCTTATGCAAGATCTTTTCTTTTCTATAATGTTGGTCAGGCGCTAGGGTTAGTCTTCTTTGCTGATGTTCGTTAAGCAGGCCACGTGGATTGTTAAAATTTGGTGTAATCTATGGATAAATGATTAGAGAAATTTAATATTAATTGTTTTTAATATATGTGAAAGGTTAAAAAAACAATTTACAAAGAATGTTTTTGAGATATACCTCTAATAAAACAATGATAATATTGATGCAGGAACTAACCCAAATAAATGTGGAGATGACTACGTTAAAGAATTGTTTCTTCCATTCCGATGTTTCTGCACTAGAAAAGACGTGAGTTTTGCTCTTTAATTAATTTATAGATTGGTTTAACGTATTATCATAATTATCACATAAAACATCACTAATCAAAAACGGGAAAACGGGAAAATCAACCCAAACTATTTCCCAAAAGTATTTTCATACCCAAACTCACGTACTCTGAATTTTACAACCCAAACCAGCTTTCAATTCAAATAACCAACCAGAACCGCATCAAATTTTGTCGATTTCAACCTCGACTTTAACAGTATCCCTGCTCATCTTGAAGTTTTGGACAATCAAGCTTAAGCTTCTGTAAAAACCAAGAAAACTTAAGCTTAAGCTTAAGCTTGATTGTCCAAATCTTCAAGATGGGAAGGGATACTATTAACGTCGAGGTTGAAATCGACAAAATTTGATATAGTTCAGGTTGGTTATTTGAATTGAAAGCTGGTTTGGGTTGTAAAATTCAGAGCACGCGAGTTTGGATATGAAAATACCTTCGGGAAATAGTTTGGGTTGATTTTCCCCGTTTTCCCAATCAAAAACTATCGTTTAAATACAAATTTATCATTTATATCAATATTATGGGTTTATTAAATTAAGAGTATTTATTTCCAGATAAATTGTGAAGATGTAGTATTGGAGGGCGTTGATGCTGGTAAAGGAATCATAGAATATGTACAAGAGAATGCAATTGATATTCTAGTACTAGGCGCATCTAAGATGACTCTTTTAAAGTAAGAAAAAAATAGTCTTCTTAAATTTTTGTTAATACAAAATAAAAGTCATATATTAACCAAATGTGATGCTTCAAATAGACGTTTCAAAGCAGTAGATGTTACGAGTTCAGTGATGAAAGGAGCACCCAATTTTTGTACAGTTTATTCAATCTCTAGAGGTAAAATATCGTCTGTTAGACCAGCAACGTCTTCACCTCCTCCACTTTGCACAATACGACCACATTTACCAGGTCGGTCGAGCAAAGCCAACAACAATAATAACATTCCCAAAGTTGAGAGAAGATATCAACCGGTTCAAAGTAAACAAGAAGAGATTGACATCAAGTATGTTCCTCTAAAGTTCTTTTTTTGCCATCACACTTGTGGTATTTGGTAATTTATTGTGGACAACTAAATGATAATAAATCAACTAGGTATCCTTATTTGAGAAGAGGATATGAAGGTACAGACCGAGCCTCAATGGCAGATTCCGACTTATCGACAATGAGTAGTGGTAGGCCAAGCATGGATTGGCTGTTACCGACGCCTCGTCTCTCGGTCAGTTCTGAGTTTGAAGACAATCGTTGCAGTTTTGCTACATCCTCATGCTCATCAGAAAAGCAGTCCATAGACTTGTGTTCTACCTATTCAGCATTCTCCTCAAGCTCACCTGAAAGTGGGAGACTCTCTTCAGTTTCAATGTATAGTCAGGTAATTAAATTAAGGAAAAGTATTTAATTGATCACATTTTCAGGCCTAAAAATTTGTATTTATTGATTACTCTATAAATTCTTTAAGGATGACGTAGAAGCTGAGATGAAAAGACTAAAACTAGAGCTCAAGTATACAATGGATATGTACAACACTGCCTGTAAAGAAGCAATCACAGCCAAGAAAACGGTATATATATTAATGTGTACAGTAAACCTCTATAAATTAATAATGTTGGGACCATGAAAATCTATTAATTTATAGAGTTTTTAATTTATCGATAAATTAATAATTATTAATTTATAGAGAGATTTTCTTAATTTGGAAAGTTTTTTCAAAAAAAATATTTTAAAATAAAATTTAATCATGATAATTAGTATTTTATATAATCAATTACAAAGAAAAAAATTATTATTATGTCTTGAAAGAGAATGCTAACAATTTTTGATATAGTAAAATATTAGAAATAAACTCTAACAAAACTATACATATATTTTGAAAATTTTACCTAATTATTAATTTATAATATTGATGGGATCATAGATTTACAAAGGATTTTCAAAAAGATTATTATCTTATTATTTTATCGAAATGTGTCTAAAATTACACTAGTCCCAACTTGAGATGGAATAAATTTTTTTAATTTATAGAGATTATTAATTTAACGAGTATTAATTTATAGAGGTTTTACTGTATATGCAATTCAAAAACTAAAGATATTAAGACTAAAATCTATATCTTTGTAGACTATGGAGTTACACAAATGGAAACTAGAAAGGGAATGTAAACTAAAACAAGCAAGACTTGCCAAGGAAGCAGCAATGGAAATGGTAAATAATGAGAAGGCAAAGAGTAGAGCAGCTATGGAAGCATTAGCGACAGCTCATAGAATGGTAGAAATCGAAGCTCAAAAGAGAAAGCAAATCGAAATGGCAGCTTTGAGAGATGTAGAGGATAATAATAAAGCAAGGTACTCTTTAAATAAAAGTGACAAAATGTATAGGAAATACACAATAGAGGAGATTGACAAGGCAACAAAAAGTTTCTCAAATACTCATAAGATTGGAGAAGGCGGTTATGGACCAGTGTTTAAAGGTGTTTTAGATTACACACCTGTGGCGATAAAAGTCTTGAGACCAGATGCAATAAATGGAAGATCACAATTCCAACAAGAAATAGACGTCCTGACTAGCATACGACATCCGAATTTGGTTCTACTACTTGGAGCATGCGCAGAATACGGGTGTTTAGCTTATGAATACATGGCGAATGGTAGCTTAGAAGATCATCTACTTAGACGAGGCAACTATCCAGTGCTTTCATGGCAACTAAGATTCCGTATTGCAGCTGAAATCGCTACATGTCTTAATTTCCTCCACCAATTAAAACCAGAGCCATTGGTGCACCGTGACTTGAAACCAGCCAACATATTACTTGACCAGCACATGGTCAGCAAAATTGCTGATGTTGGGTTGGCTAGACTTGTCCCTCACTCGGTTAATGACATTGCCATACAATATAGAATAACGTCAACTGCTGGAACCTTGTGTTACATTGATCCAGAATACCAACAAACGGGTATGCTTGGAACCAAATCAGACATATACTCATTTGGGATTATGCTCTTGCAAATACTTACGGCCAAGCCACCAATGGGCTTAACAAGCCAAGTCGAGCGAGCAATTGAGGAAAGAAAATTTGCTGAGATACTAGACCCTGTTGTTCTTGATTGGCCACTTGCTGAGACATTAATATTAGCAAAAATTGGTCTGCATTGCGCATCGTTAAGTCGAAAAGACAGACCTAATTTAGGAAAAGATGTGTTGCCCAAGATTATAAGGCTTATCGACTTAGCAGGAGAAAGCATGCATAACAACCATATCCAAGTAAATGCATCAAAGAAAGCGTCTTTTTACTTCTGATTGTAAACATGTCTTGATTACTAAACTATCTTTGTTTTTCGTTTTCTTTCAGGTTTCAGTAGATAATAAGTGATCCATCTCTCAAGTCTCAATAGCATATTTGATGAGAGTTGCAATAACAGCTAGCACAACATCTTAAGGAGAAATGAAATTAAGTAATTAAAACAAGACTAGATAAAAATGGGGAACCCATATAAAAACTCTTCAGCCTGTTCATTCCATCGAGGCGTCTCCTCTTTACGTGATTCTTCTTGCTTGTTTCTTGTAACATGTGTAATTGAGGCTAAAAATTATGTTGGAGCTCATATCCTTTTAAGCTCCCATACTTTTTAATTTAGTAAAAGAACTAGGACGAATGTGACATTCCTCTCTTTTCTCCATTTAAAAGTAGTTTTTTCACATCGTTGTTCAATATTGCTCATCAAATGAGGAATAATGGAACCAAAATGTTCCTCCCTAAACTTGATAAGGACCAAAATGGAACAAAAAAGAACAAAATATTGAAATCAGTTTTTCTCTTTTCAAATAATAAAATTAATAATTAATAATTATATTTTTATTTTAATATATAATAAATTTTGTATTTCCACTTTATATTAACTGAAAAAATATTTTTGATTAGAATATTACTTTTTTGATAAATCAGTCTTTAAGACTTTAATTAAAAATTACATGAGTAGTACAATAAATTAAGACTCGTTTGGTTATTAATTATCACGACATTATCTTATTATATAAACCTTGGTTTTCAAAGTCAGCCATTAACAAGATCGTGACATGTGTCAATTATTAACGTTAAGATGTTGACACGTGTCGATTCTAATTTTGTAAATTTTAAATAAAATAGGAATATTATTAATCATATCGAAAAAGGAAATATATAATAAAAAATATATTATAAAGAATTATATATTAAAATTTTATTAATAAATTAAACAAATAACCTAATTTCAGTTATGTCAATTTATTTTATTAATAAGATAGGGTTTAAAATTTATAATTAACAAGAATATATGTCGGTTTTTGTTTACAGAAGAGGATTAAGGTTTAAACTTTAATTTTACAATTAAAACAATTGATTTGTTGGTTTGGGTATAGAAATGATAAATGAGAATTATGGTTTATCTTTGTAAATTAAAATTATTGTTTAAGTTTAACAATTAAACGAGATTGTATGTCGAAACTTGGTTTTTTAATTTACTAACTCACGTGATCATAATAAAGTGTCAAGTAAAACATAAGATATCGCAACATGTTATATCTAATTTTGTTAATATTAAGATAAAAATAGATTAATTATGTGTGGTTGGAAAAAAAGATAAAAAAAAAGAATTTTTAAACAACATTAAAAAATAAAATATATAAAATAATTATAAATTAAAGAGAATTTTTGAGAAATACCCCTTTTGGTGTACCCCTTTTCAAAAATACCCCTTTTATCTATCCATTTTCAAACATATCCCTGTTTAATTATGAAAAATTATAAAGTTTTATATGGTTTATAATGTACTTCTATATAATAACTACTACTTGGAAATTTGATATAAATATTTTATAGTTTTTTAAAAGGTTTTAAATCGTTTTTACAAGTTTTATAAGGTTTTTAAATGATTTTTAAACAGTTTTTAAAAGGTATTTATAAGTTAAAAAGTAAAAAAATTTGATATTTATATTTACAATTATATTCATAATATTGTAATTTATAAGGTATTCATAATATTCACTAGACAAATTGTCGGGATTATCATAAATGACTATTAAGGTATTTAAAAAACTTTTTGTTTGATTTTGGTTTGGTTTTGACTGTCAGTTATATATATCTATTAGATAAGGGCCCGCGTATAAACACGGGTTGATTTTTTAAAAATATTTTAGCAATATTACGACTAATAGTGAATAGCTCCCAAATATTTTGGTGATTGTCAGCTTGACATTACTATATTTATATAATTAATGTTTAATAACGAATTTAAAGATATATATATACGTTTATTTGATACTTCAAACCAAATAAAATCTCTTTCCAAATGAAAATAATTTTCCCTTATTTTTTCAAAAAAAGATTTGAAATTATTTTTTATAAGTTAATTTTAATTTTAATTTAATTTTAAATAAAGATAACCCGTCCATCGGACGGGTACTAAACTAGTAATTTATATATTCTCCATCTTTTCTATGTAGCTTGTCTGACTGATGGAATGTGAAAAGAGGGTTTAACATAGACCTTTGTTCGTTTTGGTTTCTATTTTAAGGGTTTAGCTAAAGATTTAGTTTTGTTGTTGTTTGTTTTGGTTATTATCAGGATTCCATCTTTCTATGTAGCTCGTCTGACTAATGGAATGTTAAAAGAAGGTCTAGCATAGACCTTTGTTCGTTTGGTTTCTATTTGAAGGGTTTAACTAAAGATTTGATGTTTTTTATTGGTTGTTTTAGTTTTTATAAAGATTCCATCTTTCTATGTAGCTCGTCTGACTGATGCAATGTGAAAAAGGTTTAGCATAGACCTTTGTTCGTTTTGGTTTCTTTCTGAATATCGCTGATGATGACATGGAATGATGCATTTGACGTCGTAAGTCAGGGACCAAACGAATATGTAACTCATCCTAATTAAATCAGCCATCAAACAAAACTTAAGTGAGCCGAAATATGAATAATATTTAAGTAATTTTAAAATGATAAGACGGCGGCCTAACTCAGCCAAAATGTAAATGAAAATCTGTAACTGAGTCGTAACGTTTAATAAGTCAGCCGTAACTACATAATATTCTAGTAATTAATCTTTCGCTTATAAGTCAGCCTTAACAAGGCTGATTTTTCCGTTAAACCAGCCAATTACGGCTGAGTTTTGTCTCCTAAAACAGAAGTCAGCCGTAACGACAAACCATAACTTACCCGTTGTCGATAACTCAACCAACCGAAAAAATTTAAGTCACCCGTGTCAAAGCAATAGCTCAGCCAAAATTTTGATAAACCAACCATCGGGAAAAAACTCAGCCGTAACTGCGACTGGGTTATACGCGTAAGTCAGCCGTTTGCTCATCACTCAACCAGATTTTATTAAGTCAGTCGTCGCTATTGTCTGAGTTATGTTCGTAAGTCAGTTGTTCGCTCATAACTCAGCCATTTTCCAAAAATCAGCCGTAACATAGCGTAAGTCACCCGTAACTAACACTTTAGCGCGTTGCTGCTGAGTTATAAAATACACGCGCATGATTTATGACGTGGCGATGCATTTTTTCTAACACGGCAATGGCATTCTTCGTAATTATGTTTTTTCCTATAACATGTAAGAAGGACACACTGGCAATCGAAAATTTACTCGAAATATGCAATTAATAAAAAAAAATGATTTTGGTCATTTACTAAATTATGTAACGTCTAAGTAAATCTCCCTAAAATAAAATAATAGTCAGTAACCAATCCAAGCCCCCATGAGCAAATAGAAACCAATAAACAAAAAATGAACATGTATACATGTGTCTAGAGATCCCAATCAACGAGAAACGTGCTTATGAGGGAGAGACCAAGGAAAATTCGGACGATTGTGTTTGTGTGGAGCCAAAACCATAAGGAAAGGAAGTCTTCATGCTCGAAGACTATATCAGTATTTCATCGGGTTCGTTCACTTCGAACCTTTAGAGGCCCATTAAGCATCATCTATATATCCTCCGTCAACTCACTTCGAACTTGTAGACGTGGAGAATTTTGAAGAAGATCTAGAAGAACCACCACCCATGATAGACCTTTCGGAGTTCACTATACCATCCCCGGACAGTCCACTTACGATGATATGGAGAGAAAACTCGCCGGTCCTCAACCTCGGTCCCAATCTGTTGGCCGATGCTATCCCGATGAGCGGGTTTGGTAGCACATCCGACATCCTAATGTCGTACTGTTTTATATGTGGGCGTATTGGGGACTATCCTCGAGAGTGCCAATACTACAGACTGTATGCTCCCTTGTACAACATTTGTTTGCTTTGTGGAGAGATCAGACACTATGTCATTTCTTGTCCGACAGCAAAGCCGACTACTCTCATTCGCCTCCCAACTCCCCCTCCATCCCCATCTCATGCTACCGGTCCTCCATCCTCCCAGCCTCCGTGTAGTGACCCTCACCCTGATCTAGTGGCCGGATGAAAAATCATCAATGAACGGGCGAGAAAAGAACTCCGAAAGAATTGGAAAAAGTGAAAACAATGATCTATCGAAGCTTTACCAGAAGAAACGAAGTTTGGTCAAGAGATATACAAAGGAATGTAGCCGGAGAAGAGCGTTGTCGACCACATGAAGATTGGACCAAAAGTGAAGCAAAGTATCTCGACCCAAAGTCTTAAAATGACTAAGTATGAAGTTTTGTCGAGAAGGATTACCGAAATATCGAAGGAAGGTTGAAGATGGTCGAAACACAATCGATCTTGTCGATCCGCGACGACAGCCGGTCGAGACCAAAGTGAAGAAGTGACGATCGAAGCCGAGCCAAAGTAAAATCTCAATGTTCAACCACTGATAAGAAGTTTTGAAGAAAGTTTGTCGATGGAATGCTAAGTTTGCCAAAGAAATCTCTTTAAGCACTGAGATGTCCGATCGTGATCGAGAAAATCTCAAGAAGATCAAGAAATCCGATTTTTTGTCTGTTAAGTGAACCCATTCACTCGACAGCCTTGCCACATGGCAATATCCGATAAAAAAATCCAGAGAAAAGCCGAGAAAATATCTTGCGAAGATATGGGAGAAGATTCAATGAATGCAGTCGAACAAAATCCTTTTTCTTCTCCATGGCTGCCACGTGTCCGGCAGCCAGAGATGGCTTGTTTCGCCAAACCCAAACCTACACCTGGCGAATGCATGCGATTTCCAAAGCTAGCTATTTTTCCGAATCTAAACTCTATAAATAGAAGCAGTGAAGCGTCATTTGTGTTTGTTAGCCCAAACGACACAAGTTTCTCACTCTAAAGAATTTCTCTCTCGCTCTTGAAAGTTTCGTTCGAGAAACTTGCCCCTCCGATCGACTGTTGCTGCCGAAGGATCGAGAAACTCGTTGTCGAAGGATCGAGAAACTCGTTGCCGAAGT